GACACTTACCAGCACATGGGGTCGGTTGTGCTGATGCTACACTCTGTGCTCTTTTGCACAGATCCAGGTCTTGGACAGCAGCAGTAGTGCGGGAGCCAGCCTTCAGTCCAGTGAGACACCGAGGTAGCCCTGCAGGCGTCCGCATGCCCGGCGTCTCCTCGAGGTAGCCTTCATGTACTCGAGACAAACAATTTATATTTTCTTTCAAACGGTTGTATTTAGTACTCTTAGAAGTTCATGAGTAATGTGACACCAGTTCTTGGGTAGAGGCATATGTTGATTCTCGCATTATTATTTCGTCTTCTTTAATTTACGTCTTCCGCATAATTATTTAATTCTGTTGCTTCATGTTATCACTGATAACTGTTAAAAGAAGTAATTGTTAATGAAGTAAGCAGTTAAAGATTGGCTTGCCTAGCTCACATTAGTAGGCGCCATCACGACTCCCAATGATAGAAAATCCGGGTCGTGACAGCTAGATTTTGGTTGGAGCCTTATCTTATTCAATCTTTGAGAAATAAACAAAACTTAAAATGTCTCAAGCATCTTAAATATATCCTTCGTGAAGTAGAGTGTTTCAAAAATGCCCAATGAAATGTAACCATTAATCTATGATTCGTTATCTTCCTACTGTCTTATCAGCTATGTTGTTCGGACACTCCAAAAATATTGCCGCACCCGTGTCAGATCTTCCAAAAATACGCTAAATTTGGAGGATCCGACACGCACCCAACAATATTTTTGCGGAATCCGAATAACATAGCTTATCAGTACTCATTGAGAACTGAAGCAATCCCAATTATAGTAAAAGTTGAAGTTTCATATCAAATTTGAATTAATTTATTTTGTTAGTTAATTAATCATTTATGTGGAACGTTAGTTTTGCGGGCTTGAACCTTATCCTTCTTTCTTTCTTTCTTTTTGTGAGCTGTCGAATTCTCTTGATGTTTTATTAATGAAGCAACTTTTAAGGTGCTTAAAAAAATAGTATATCTGCAAGAGTGGATCTGTATATTTTTTGACTTAATTTTTTTATCATCTTATTAATAAAAACTGTATATTTTATTTATCTCTTTTATGTCTTATTTGTTTGGTATACCAATTGCTATATCTTATGTAGATTCTTCAGAAATTTATTAATTATTATACATTCTTGCTTTATACTAACTTCAATTTTTTCGTTGATTTTTTTTGTCAATATTGTTGTAGATGTTATTGGCGAAATTGTGAGTTATGGAGATGTACATTCTATCAAACAAGAAGATAGAATCTGTATGTTCATGAACGTACGTTGAGATACAGGATTATGAGTAAGCTACCCAATATTAATTAAACTAAATAAATATTTCAATAATTTGTTATTTTTATTCACGTGCTAACCTTATAGTAATTGTAGGAGCAATAATATTTCTGCAACTTTTTTGTTATGCTTACTGATGACGAGGATATTATAAACAAATACAATCCTTCTCCACGTGCAGAGATATTCAAAGTATGTTTCTCTACTGAAATATTTCTCAAACTTTGCTATTTGTGATTGAAGAAAATTTTAATTATGATATATATTTTTTATAGGGTCAGGATTTCAATAATAACCAAGTCATTCATGAAGATAACGAAATCATGGTGATTTTACAACTCACCATTAACATTTTTTTATATTGTTGATTCTTTTAATAAAATTATTTGCAGGTGTATACAATAATAAAACAATATGAATTATAGTTTCACTGTTGATTTTCACAACTTTTTATATTTTAAATATGTAGGATTCTATTGAAGATACTAACTTTATCGACGTTGCAAATACACCTGCCAATATGAGTATAACTAATGTCATACCAGTGGTTGAAGAAGATCTGTATGCTTAGTTGTCAGGAAATAAGATCAAGAGAGTTTTTAAGAAGAAGATATCATAAGGTGTTTACATATGTAACAAATGCAGAAACGAAGAATTATTTGATTAGTTAGTTTAGTAGTTTCGTTTGTTATGAAAAAGATATTTGAATCGTTTCCTGTTTTTTCTTGTATTTAACTTTTCCTGTTTCGTTAGTTTGGTAACTTCATCAGTTATGGACAACTTGTTTGAATATATCCACGCTTCATTCAATTTTTGAACTTCTCTTATTTAGATACATACAATAGTCCATACATTTTTAACTTAGTGGAAAGGCTACTTGAACGTGCCAGTGTTGGTTATTTTTAACTCATTTCACTGTTATATTGGTTCTCTATGTAGTCGAAAAAATTTCCTGGTTGATATATTTCTCATCAAGCTATCTAGAATTGATGTGAAAAGGAAGCTTTATTGTATGACGGATAACCTTTAATTGATGTGAGGGTAAAGTTATCTCATTCGACTAAAGTAAATTGTCAATGAATTGAATGAGTATGGCGAATTTAAGCCATGCAGAGGATGGTGGAGTTGAGCTACTATTTTATTAAATCTCTCAATAGTTGATCTATTAGTTTGTTCACCAGAAAGTCTAGCATTGAATGCAATTTATTTTTGCACTAAGCCATTGATTAGACACTGATGGAGATGAGTTACAGGAGCTAACTTTTTTTTAAAGTAGTATTAATTATTTTGGCAAAACTTTATAGTACCATATTTTCTAAAATCAACTTAGAGTTGAGATACTCTTTTGATTATATTTTTTAATTTGTTGCAAAGCGTAGTTACTTTAAATTCATCTTTTCCTTCTTTACTATGAAAATTTTGATAATTTATGTCATTTATATTTACTGAAGCTTTCACCAAATGTGGTGACATACGAGAAGTGTGGAGCCTAGAATATTAGGGCCTAGAGGGTTGATCTTCTACTTCCAGCTGTTGAATTTGGTATTACTATGTTTCGATGAATTGAGTATCTAAAAAAAGGATAACAGATTGGTTAGTAAGAGGAAGCCAAAGGATTTGACTTACCAATTTTCGGGAGCTAGACTGTTATAGCGTAGAAAAATTATAGAAGATCAGTATAAGAATTGACAATCATGACTAATATAGAATGATCAACAGTCATCAATTTAATGTTATTGATGCACTTAAATTACTTTAAAATATAAATTATATAGTATTCTCTTTTCCTCTAAATAAAATATTAATTTATACTGGACTAGGACTATCTCAACTAATTGAGAAGCGTATCTTTAATTAGACGATGCACCTTTTCAATTGCGGTGATTAATTATGCTTCGGACGATGGGAAGGGTATTGAATAAGTTGACGCAGAAACTTTTATTGTTCTTATTTTGTGAAGGAAATAAACTTCAACCACTCCAGAAAGAAATGTAAAACTACTCTTGATTATCTATATTGATTTTTTTGGATTTGATATACGTTTTATCCTTGACCTTTGCATGAGTGCATAAATATTGGTGGTCCGTAGCATAGATACACTCCTATAAAATTCATATATTTATTTTTTGGTTTAATTTTTTTGAATGTGATCGCTAAATTTCGTCTGCAATATAGACATGTTTCTACAATATTATTTTTTTCCTTTGAAATTATCCACGTATACTAGTATTATATTAAAAGTGGGAAGTCCAACAGTTAAAAGTTGAATTACTAAAATACTCTTTTTTAAAAACCCTAATTAGTCTATTAATATAAATAAATAAATAAATAAAAACCTTGCGCATATATATATTCCAAACCAACGCTTGGATACGAATGGATGCGTTCCTAGGAGAGGAATTCG